CATGGATATATTTCTTACAGTAATAACACTATATATAACCTTTAAATGGTACTTTGTCAACGCTATTTTGCCAGCAGAATAAGAATAACTATTTATTGAATTTATATCACCTAAAATTTTTTTTAACTTAAATTATTTTGCTTTACTATTTTTTACTGTTTACACCTTTGCTAAGGTAAAGGTTCAGTTGTTCCTCTTTACCCCACCCACGTGTAAACTTTTATAGAAGTTATTTAGAAAATAAAACTGTTGAATCTTAAACTTAAATATAACAATACATTTTATAGAACAATTATAACGTATACTTGATAATTATATTAAGGTAAGATAATTATATTAAGGTTAACTAACTTAAATATTGCCGTTTATCTCCTGATAGTGACTGCGTAAGAATCAAGGTGATGAACTGTGTACATTTTTTCTCTCTACTTTCAAATATTGTTGTTAAAAATTACTAACTTCAACACTTTTTTTGAGATATCGGTGGTGAACCTTTTTAACCGCGGACCTTAAGCTCCGTTCTACTCTATATTCAAATATTTCAAACTCAATGTTTTGATCAAAAGAAAATGTCCGAATTATGTATAAATACCTCAAGTAATTAGTAGTTCTAGTATACATATTTGCCTAAATGTTTATAAATATGCCTGTCTCAGAACAACTTCTTCTTTTCTAATTGTTTAATTTGAATTACAGAATAAATGCAGGGCGTTGCTCGCTCTTGTATGTACAATGCTGGAGATAGAATACAAAAATCAAGTTTATATAAAAACATCGTATGTGGTTTCACAGTGCATGCACTAAAAGCAAAACTTCATGCATCCTCTAAATATTTCAGTAAGTATTTGAAACATTCTACAATTTCTAAATATAATATTTTGCAGAAATATTATATGTAGAAAATGCACAAACATAAACTTCAAACATTCTGCAATGCAGTTTGCGTCTTGTAATAAATATAAAGTTTTTGATTTAGTTCTTTTCCAAGTCAAATCATACGTTATGTTCAACTTAGATACAAGTACATTCACTCATGTTATATTTTTATAAAAGACATTTCAGTGCTAATACATAAGAAAGATCAGGTCTATGAAAATATTGCAAAATCCTCAAATTTCGTTCTCTCTTATACCACGATAAAAATATAGAAAGAATCGATAACAAGTATTAAATTTCAATTAATAATTACATTACTAAGTGCATTATAGAAAATTGTTCAATATCACGATTTTTGGTATATTTTATTTTAATATTCTCGATCGACCAATCCTCAAAAATGAACTTAATATCCATTTTTTCATAAGTTTAATTAATTTCAATTTCCAGAAAAATTCACTCGAAAAAGTAAACTAATTGTGTATAGAAATTAGTATTTGTATATGCTAATTTTTCTGGAAAATTTTAAGATTCCATACATTATACGTTTGTGAGATAATTTGTGTAGTCATAACTAACATTTAAATAATATGTATCCATTTGGGGTCATCTATAGATGATATTTATAATTCTAAGTTAAATTAGTGTGAGATCTTATTAGTTATATTGTAATTGCTAGTTCTTTAGAAACAATTTTTAATTTTTAAATACACTTTTATAGAAGCCACAAAAAATAGTTGTCTTGATTGTGGTGTACGTCATATGCACGTCTAATATAGTTTTTACACCTAAACACGAATCTGAAGTTAAAATTTGGGGTCAAATGTGAAGAAATTGAAACATTTTTAAAAAAGACAAAATTTCCGATCTAGATCATTTCAGTGAATTACCGATAAGGTAAAAAAGGGGCGAAAACGACAAAAAATATAAAATTTTAATTATCATGCAGAAGAATTACAAGATCGGAGATTTTATCGTTTTTTTATTTTTTTTTTAATTAATTGTCATTTGACTTTAGATTCGTGTTTAGCGGTAAAAACTATATTGGATAACATATGCCGCACACCTAATAGAGACAACTTTTCAACTACTGGGCGGCTCGCTGTTCCGAACAGCAATATCACCTCTGCGGAAAACACTGCCTTAGTAAAAATTATCCACTATTTGTTACGTTTTACCCTAAAAAGTATAACTAAACACAGATGCTACAATTTATAAATTACAAAGCTATGGGCAGCAAACAAACTATGTATTACACATGCTGCGTTCATATATAATGCATTTTTAGAGATATATCAGCAGAAATTTTTGGTAATAATTATATTCTTTTCTCTCTCATGTTTTTTTTTATTAACATGGTATATAAAATATTTAAATATTTCCATATGAAAACATAAAATTCGGCATAAGCGTGTGTTCTGAGGTTTACACTTTCATCATTTCGAATCGTTGTCTCTTGAGCTTAGGCGAAAGTGCCATAATATTCGCATTCTATAAAAAAGACACCTCACATACTCATAAAAATGATATAAAAAGAACAAAAGTGTCACACAATAAGCACAGTTTGTCATAATAAAAACACATACCGGGAAAGTACACGCTTCCGACCGGCAATGGCGTAGACACAGGAAGGATTGTATAAGAACGAGGAGAACTTCGCTAAACTTTCGCATAGAAGCTTTACTTTAATTGAATAATGATTTTAAACAAGATGAAAGATGATTACAAGTTCAAATTAAAAATATCTTCAATCTGCAAAATTTCACTTTAGTGAAATTAATAATGTAAACGAGCGAAATTAAAATTATGTAAAATTAATATAAAATTTTTATACAAACCTAATATAATTCTTTCAAATGAAGCTCTGTCATTTTTTTCTAGCTATAACAAAAACAAATCAGAATATGTATTATTTGTTAATAAAATAATAGGAGAGCTCAACTGTTAAAATAACTCACTGAATCTTTTTATAAATAATATATTTAAAACTATAAATCATCATTTTGTAGTCTTCATAAGTATTACTACATGATGATGTAACGTAAGGTACTCAGTACCCAGTACTTTAGTGATGCAACAATGCCGTGTCGGGTAAGGACTGTTTCTAAATAATTTTAAGTAAAAATAGATGTTACGGCTGCTTGAATTCAGGCTATCCAAGGTGGATATAGAAAACGGCTTGAAACTTAAGTGTATTAAACTCTTTTATTTTAAAGTTACATTCATAAATTAAAAGTTATAGCTTAAATTTTTTGTATAAAATTTTATTTCAATTGTATTGAATGTTTTATGTGGTCCTTAAATTTCATCAATGAGTTGTAAATGAGATTTAATAAATCCCATTGACGCCATAATAACCCATTGCTATGAAAAATGTTTTCCTTTTTTGTTGAAAAATGAGCTTCTCGATTGAAACTATATAATATTGAATAGCGTTCTTCATAACTTTATTTAGTTTGTGAACGGCTTCATATATCATCTTTAATAAGTATTAATGAAAATCAATATCCCATATCAAATTCTCTCACATTCTATTTTAAATTGCATTTGTTGTAACAAATTAATATTGAAACCACTAGTCAATAACAATAATTATATATTATGTATATATTTAGTTATTCTACAAATTTGCTAAGTTACTTATTTCATTTTATAGTATTTTTTACTATTACTGTTTATAATTATAATTATGTAATTAATACTATTTATATAAGAAGGCAGAGAATGTAATTAACATATAAGTGAAAGTGCAAAAACTTATTTTTTTATACAAAAATAAATTATACCGTTGAACAAATTAGTAAATATTAGGAGTAAGCAAAATTGCTCAAGCTGCTATAAAAAAAATTAAGAAAATATTAAGTACCTTATCATCCCACTATTTTGAACATTTTGAAAAAACATGAAAACAAGAAATTTCAATTTTTAGAAATCATTATCAGCTTATTTCTATAAATTAACAATCAACCCATGTATCGATAATATCGAGTACTTCTATTATGGTATCTATTTAAAACTATCAACAATCTATTTTTTTTAAAAAAACTATGAAATATGTGATATTTTATTCTGTTTTGCGGCAATAAAATTTGGTGTGATGGTGCGGACCCTAGAGTTGTATAAAAATAGATCCGATACTTTGAAACAATTCAAAATTTGCAGCAATTTGAGCATAAAAGTAAATATCGCTAGTTTTTATTCAAATTCATATTAAAATTATACATATATTGATAATATAACCGTCTTTTTTTTTAATGGTTTTCAAGAAAAATCAGGTAAAACATAAAAAAACAATATGTTTCATTATTATTATTTAACAATATGTTTTATGAATAATACACTACACCACATACAATACAACCACATTTTTTTAATAACTTTTACCTAAGCAAAAGTCGGTTTGAAAAACGAAGCCACTTTTGCATATTTTCGATGGTACTTCAGCCAAATGATGAGTTAGTAAATATAACCATTAACAGAACTTACTATTAATTCCATAACTACTCCATTAAATTTATTCGAGTTTTTGTTTTATTTCACTTATTAACGGCAAAATTTGTGCGTTTAAAGTGCAACAAAATATTTTTTTTTAGAAAGTTGAAAGGTGCGATGAAATTATTTATTGGAGGAAAAAATCATCGCAGTTTATGTGAAAAACACTGCCTTTGATTTTAACAAATTCCAAAATCCAAATGCTCAATAGCCTCAGTGGTGTTGTGCAAATTTTTTTCACCGGAACGCTAAAGTTTCAGTCACAAAAAACATTCCGGACGACTGTGCAGAGAAACAAACCGGTTTGTTCCGGTTCGGGCTCGGTTCAAACCCTTGTTTATAGTAATACATATAAAAATCCGTCAGAAATTATAAAAAAAATCAGCAAATTAAAAAAAAATCAATACGTCATCCAATGCTCGTTATCAGAAATCAGCTTTAATTCCAAAAAGCGTTCCTGTCCAAAAACGTACCCGAACAATGTTTCGGCTCGACAACACCACTGAGAAGTCTCCTGGAATTGGAATTGACCTAATAAATAGATGCATTAAATTGCTAAATAAACAGGTTTTACCTCTTTTTGAATTCGGTTAATTTTTAAGAAAACTAAATTACAAAAAAAACATAGAACATTGTAGTGAAATTGATTTTATTATAAATATTTTAAGAACAAGTAGGTACATTAAGTAAAGACAATACAATCTTCATATAATACAGACATTTATTTGGCTAACTAAATATAAAATGATAAAAAAAATTGTCCTAAAATCCAGCCTCCCATGGTTTATTATTGTATTATGCATGGACGCGTTCATATTCAGTCATATTCACATGATGCGCGTAACACAATATATGTTCGTCAGACATCTGACACTCTACAGTTTGGCTTCCGTTTTCAGCAATGGAACCAGTTTCTGCGTAAGCATTATGTTTCCGGTGATCTTGAGTTTTCCCTTCATAAATGCGAGTTGTGGGTTCAGTTTGCCGAGGGCGATGTCGACGAAGTCTTCGTCAGACACAGTTAGTGTTGTATCCACCTTAACACTCTTCTCGGCTGGTCCCTCGTATAATTTCAAGTTCTTCAAATCGATGGCTAAAATCGAAAATCATTATAAAAATATAAATAATAAAAACATATATTTGTACGCTGTGTGTCTTTCAATGAAGATTATGAAACTCATATAGTGAAAAAATAATTCTAGTTTTAACATTTTAAGTTATTTAAATCATTACTAAGGTGGCCAAACATCTGGAGTAGCCGGGAGAATCTCGGATTTTTCCAAAAGCTTTATTTGCCCCGGATTTTTCGTCTTGATTTTTTTTTTCATACTCATTACAATTACAACAATTTTTACAAACATATGAACCGAAACAATGATGCTGCTTTTAATATGGGTATGACTGCCATATTAGAATGGCAGATGAGATGAGTTAAACGAGTTGGAATCAATTCAGGAAAGAATAGTGAGAGAAGTTTCCTATTGCCATTTCACACCGCAGTGCCGAAAATGGACTAGCTTCAATTGAAAATATATAACATCTATATTTTCAAGTGAAAATGGATATTGCTGGCTTCTAATATATGCACTAACCATATTACTTACTAAAATTAATCATGAAGTAAGTTTGGCAAATTTTTATAAAATGCTTAAAATGGAAAATGATCTGCAAAAATACATATTTTGAAAGGTCAGAAAAAGTTTTGTACGCAGTAGGCTCCCGGCCTATTTTTAAAAACTTTAATTAATGTTTATAATTGAACCACATCTCATAGGCCTATAACATTTAAAGGTGTTTGGTTTGATTACCAACACAATCGCTATGTGAAGTTTGATGAAAACCTTATAAGAGTAAACTTGAGATTGCCCTTGTTAGTAATTCTGATTCGACAAAAAGATTTAAAATAAAACTGATTTTATAATATCCTTAAATAATTTTATTATATCTTTGTCATCTACAATTTTTATTGAAAAATACTTAAAAAAACCCCTACTGCGATATAATATGGTCACCTGAATACTACCTGAAACAGTCGGGTAATTGTAAAAAAAAAACTCTCGTGATTAAATACTTAAAAAAACCCCTACTGCGATATAATATGGTCACCTGAATACTACCTGAAACAGTCGGGTAATTGTAAAAAAAAACTCTCGTGATTTGATTTCTTAAATGGGTTGAATTTAAATTTAATTTAAAACTTCCAGATCAAATAAAAAAAATATTCTGAAGATGTTTTAACAGTTTGAATAGTTAGTTTATATATTTATATAGCTGTGAAAAATTGAGTATCAGTCAAAATATTCTCCAATTCGTAAATAAGAATATAATTTTTACTCTGCAGTAGTTATATCTCTCTTTTGGATAAAATATTTCTAATTAAAAGTTCTGCAAATGGATAAAATTACAGAACAAAACTTTATTTGGAAACTGAAGAAGAAATAATTTAATAAAAATAAGAAATCTGCGCAGATATGATTTTTATTTTCTGAAGTATTATATTATAGACTGAGCGTAATAATGATGATCGTGTTGGAAAAATAGATACTTATTTCATATTATATAAAAATTTAGTTACAACCGAAAAACAAATATTAGCTATTTTCACTCGAAATTAATTTCATTGACTGAAATAAGTACAACTATGCATTTTTCAAATAAAATTTAACCTAAAATTATAATGTTTTGATCGATTAAGCCCTACCACAGAATTACGAAAAGCATGACTGGGACAAAATCAAGCTTTTCCTCAATTATTCCGACTTTTCCAATATTTATTTCCCGGTCGTTTTCACGTTGGACGACTATGTGAAAGCGTCGATCTTCCCTTCGCAACGCTATAAGACTACGATCAACAAAGAAACAAATATTAAATTCTTTTACGGAAACTTGCGAGACCAAAATACCACTGCATGTAAAAATGCACTTGAGAGAACCACCCCAGCTCTTAAAATAAAAAAGTATAATGTGATAAACACATTATAAGTTTGCGTTAAACCGTGTGATTCTATTATAACTGGAACTTTAGAACTAAAGCTATCGGAGCTGGTTGAAAAACTTCGCGTGTTGTATGCCAGTTTATTTTAAACTTTTCTAAGTTTAAACAAACACAGGCACTTCACAAATCCATAAAATATTAATTGTGAACTTTCTCATTCGCTAACTGCCAATTGAAATACTTTTTTTATTGCTATAGAATTGCTTACAGAAGAAAAAACTTTTGAATTAAGGAAATAACGTTGTGTGCGCGTATTAGAATATACATAAACGTAATGATTCGAATCAATCTTTAAATTTTCCTACAGCCAATTGTATATAAATAAGTATAATTATTCTAAGTTATTTAATTCCTTCAGAAAGTATATTTCCAAATTACTTATCTAAACAAAATTCCAACCATGAGAATTAAATGTTTATGAAATTAAATTATAATTATCAAAACGCAGTAGTTGATACTAGAAAAATACTGACTAAATGTGGTGTATATGGTCAAAATGATATAGTGGCTTCATATAAAAATTGGCAAGTTTTATTAACATTTTCTCGACTGTATAACATGAAAAAAGCTATAGTTACAATCTTGTCAGATGTTGAGCGTCATTGTCATATTATTGTCGCAGTAATCAGTTCAAACATGCATCACCACGCCTTCCAAAGTTCATTTTGAAGGTGATTTTGTCATGTTTTTGGGGCTTATTCGTTGTTATTTGTAATTATATCTATTGGAATCAATGAACTTATGCCAACACTTGCGATTTTGATCAATTTCATTGTAATTATCCGATGTTTATTGGAATTACGAATATTTATTCATTTTTGTTCTCACAAAATGACATACAAGTACAATAGGCAACATGACATAGTACTATTTCAAAAGCACTGCAGGTTAGGTAGTTCATTCGAGACTAATAAAAAAGAAAATTTAAACTTGTCAAAGGTGATTGGCTTTTAACTTCTGCTCTAACTATTTCTAAAAACAGACCAAAGGAGCCCGGCGAACGTTGTATGATTTGTAGCCTTTGGTCTCATGTGCTGACGTCCCAAAGAGATTTATAAACTGTCTTCTTAATATATGGAGAAAATGGTTTTTGTAATAAGATGCACTTTTTTTAATAAATATGTTATTATAGTTCCTGATTAAATAGAAGACTATGTTACTGGTAGTTAATGAATGTAATAAGATGAGTAAATACAATTGAAAGTGATTATAATAGCATTAAAAAATTACAAAACACCATGTAATTTTTCCGTACTACCCCTATTCTATATGAATATTATGTTTATACGAATACGTACTCCATTGCTTTACTTGTTTTCCACCTTCTGTGATGTTATAAACAAATACTCCGTTAATAGATTTGGCTTTGTCTGGGTTGTCTGCTAGCAATCCCTTTATCCTATCAAATACAGCATCTGATTTCAGACCCATTTTGTACCTAGAATAACATTGAATTCAAACTAATACTTAATTTATTCTATAATATTCTTCATTCAAATATTTTATATTCTATTTATAAAAATAATCATACACTAGACAATAGTAAATGAATGCATTTCTGTCGTAAATTCTTCCCGTTGTTGGGTTGAAATGTTTTCATTATTTTTTTATTGTACGCTGTTTTTATACTATTAGTTTTTATTATTTTTACGGTTTTGTTTTATTATGTCGGCACCATTCTTTCAGCTGCATTTACACCGCTCTGATTTTTATATTTGATTTTTATTTTCTCCCAGTGTTATTTGAATTTGTTTATTGCTATTAACTTCCTGAGAGTGATATTACGCTATTGAACACTATTATATGGGCACAATAAATTCTTTCAGGCGTTAAGTTTTTGCATCTCCCATATAGACGGAATATTTGTATTCGCTTATAGCGAACAAATTTTGCAACAAAAATCCTGAATACACATTACTCTGCTGGGCTATAATATGCTCAAAACTAGTTTTGTTATTGTTAATTGTTTTTAAGTTACACTTATTGCACGCCTTTAAAGCTTCTATTTTTGGCCACAAAATAAAACAAAAATGTAAAATTCAAAATTCATTGAAACATGATATTTTTATACAGCTGTGTTTTTTAGGCATTACTTCAAAGTAATTCAAAATATTAACCCGCAGGAATGACACTGCTGTACTGAACAGCGAGCCGCCCAGAAGCGGTACTAAACGGACCAGGCACAACACATACACCTATACCCCGCTTCATACGAAAGATAGGTTCCATAAAAAACGTGTAATTCGAAAAACTCAATCTTATATGGATAAACCGTGCTAAAAGAAAATCACTATTGAATAACACAAACATTCAAAGAAAAATAAATAATATATTTAATATCAAACAGATTTAATAAATTCTAAGAATATTAATTTATTTCAATAATAAAAAATAATTGTTATTTTCTCATTTTGAATAAGTTTACGCTATCAACTTTATATAAACACTGATTAAAAACAAAGTTTAAAAGCAATCGTGCTCTTTGTTTTGGTATTTTAAACAAACTAGCTTATACGCACATAAAATTTAGTTTTGATCAAAAAACGGGGAGTTGCCATCTACCGTGTAAGATCGAAAGCGCGTAAAACGGTGGTATAGGCGTATTTTAAAATTGTTCATTCATCAATAAAAATGTACTTATAAATTAAAAATGACAATACCATATTGCAATTATCAATCATTTCACTCAAAATGATAAATTTTGAAACACAAGTGGTGGACACATTTAGACGACTATACACGCAGTTCAACATTATAGACAATTTGAATTGCTATTCAACAGGAATGAAACGTATTTTATAGAAACATTTATTCACGACGAATGAGTAAAAGACATATCTACAGTAATTACCTTTATTAGTTCATAGTAAAAATGGCAATGGAATGTGAAACATGGAAATATTTCGATATCGAACAGTAGTCGGAAAATGTATAATAGATTTTTTTTTAATTTCTTTTTTAACTCTTTGCAATAAGAACTGGTACTTAAATTTTCATACCATAAACGCAGTGCAGAGGAAGTGCAGACAATATGCAAGAAATTTATATTTTAATGCCATTCCCCAATAACTCGAATGACGTCAAGAAGATGAGTTTTGACAGATATATAATAAAATTTGCATTTGATAATTATATAGCTGTAATATCTTCAAACTTTGGATAAGTTTGAGTTTATTTAAGCGACGCCCTCTTTCAAACTGCTCAGAGTGCTGCAGCCGATAAACGTGAAAAGTAAACGTAAAAGATATTTATTTTGTCATTGAACGTACTGTTATAAAATTTAATTGTCGTTTCATCATACTTATAGTTACGTTAAAATATTATTTTATTAACGCTCAAAATTTATTTGCCCTAAAAACTAACTAAAATAATTGATTTTGCTAATCAAGTGAAGCGCTATTGCAATCAATTTGTACTTTGAGACTTTATCTCAAATAAAACGTGTCATTTGTTACGATAATGTCGTTATGCAGATTCATGATTTAGATACATATACTCTGGAAATATTTCAAGGTGATTAAGAGATTAAACATATGTATATTATGTACAACAAACAATTCATCCAGATTTACTTGTAACGTATTGATTAATTTATTATCTATGCGCGAAACTATGGTATGAAGATTAAACTTTGTTCTTGAAATCTGTGATATTTATTTTTAGAACAAGAACTATGAAATTAATCTTTAAATGATATGTTATGATAATTTGCACTTTGCTATTTGCGTTACAATAATAATTATCCGATGCTATGTATGTAGATAATTAATAGCAAGTTGGAGAAATTATTTCTAACGAAGCAAAATACATTCTATATAGTCCAATAAATAATTAAATCATTGCTCTTATTACAATATTAAATTCAATGATTTATTAAGAACTTAAATATATATCGGCATAACGACAAAAGCAACTACATACAATTATATAGGTCATAATATTCTTTATTCGTTAAAGAAGCAACTATTACTGTGAATTTAATAATAGTTAAATATAATTGCCCTTTTTTTGAAAATACGTTAAATTCGTTTTTTAACTGTTTATTTACCAAATTTCATCATTTTATCAAATAAATAACAGATTTTAAACGCACTTGTACTTGTATTATAAAATACATACAACTGCGTCAACATATAATTTATTCTTTATTTATTTTTACATAAACAAGTAAATAAAAATAATTTATAAAATACCTTATTTTACTTCTTTTAAATAATTCGCGTATTGGACGACCAATATGAGGAGTTTTCTCCAAATCCACGGTTTGGATATCGATCTTTATGTATAAGAATGACCTTATGGCAGTGATTGCCAAGCTATGGGACATGAGGGTGTTTCAAGAAGTTTCCAAAATACCATTTTTGTATTAAAAGTAAATAAAATAAATTTTTGTAAAAATAATAGAAATAATAATAATTTTTATTAATAATTCTACATAATATTGTATATTATTACGCAGTCCATCAAATAAATTAGATTGGTAGAAAAATCTAGAAGAACCATTTTTTTTAACTCTTTCGCTACGAGTGACGCCTATAGTTGTCGACGTAACAGTCTGAGTATACGGGTGTCCCCCTATAGGCGACATCCAGTGTGTCAACCCTTCCGACAAGATATATCATTCTAATTTATTACCCTAATAAGAAGAATCCGAGTTGATACGAGGAACCATTGCAAAAGCTATGCATACTGCTGCTTAAATGCAAACTTTAATTCATTTTTATAATTAAATCGCTTTTCATAAGCCTCTTATATTTAACCATGGTCAATTTACCATGGGCGTATAATGGACCATTATACCAAGTTTCGTCAAAATCCGAGACGAGCGACGAGCTGATTCTCCTTGTGAGTTAATTTATTGCAATTCTCAATTTGTCATTGTATTATTTAGTTTTTCAGAAGTATAATTTTTAATTTTTAAATACACGTTTGATGAAAATGATCGGAGAATCTTTAGGAAGAAGTAGGTTGTTGTGCCTGGTTCGTTCAGTAGCGCTACTGGGCGGCTTGTTGTTATGTACAGCAGTGTCACTCCTGGGGAAAACACTACCGTAGCGAAAGTGTAAAATACCGTTAGGCGCGGGTGCAAAAAGGTTGGAAGCCGCTGCCTTATAGTATTTTTATTGCATATACATAAAAAAAATTCTATACGTAAACAAAACGTTTCATTAAAGAAATTCAGCTTACATTGTTTTTGAGTTTTTTAATGTTTTTATTTGAATTGTATAATTCAATAACAGAACCTTCGATGACTCTTCATTTTATACATCGATAGATTTTTTTTCAAAAATGAACAATGCTTCATTTACATTTAAATCATTTTCAATACATCGTGAATTATTAAAATTATTTTTAAAGTAATAAAAGTTCATTTATTAATATTCATGCGAATGATTTTCATTTACTACAACACTTTTACAAAGAAGATATACATACTCACGGTAATTAATATTTTGATTCGTATTAGATTTTAATACCAACACCCATAAATATAGATTAAAAACGCCTGGTACAACTTCTTCTCTTCAAACTTTTTAATTACTTTGCGGCGCGTCGCTAGTATATAATTTAGAATTAGGAATGAACAACTTCACTTGCACTACATTATTACAAACACTGCTTCGTTTACTAGCATCAAAACCGAAATAATGAACTTAATGAACGCTGCACCTTCGTATATAATACTCACCTAGATTATTTCGGCTGTCACTCCTAGCTAAGAATCAATAAACTTTGTGAATTGACACACACGAGTCGATGCTAAAGGTATTTAACTTATGACTGCACAGGCCGCAGTCGGCACGATGTTCGGTCTGACGCGTTGTGAAGAAAGAGAGGACACTAGGCCGGCCTTGTACATTGGACGAGAAACGCGGCCGAACACGGGCGCTGCGTTTGTACTAGTAGCTGCTATTCGTTATCAGATATGTGTACTATGATTTCGGCTGTGCCATAGCCCCATAGACATACTTACGACGATTCTATGTAGGTTTGCACACGATTTACGGGTTTTGCGGAAACGAACAGGTAGCGAAAATTTTTACTTTATTTACAGTATTTACACGAAACATTGCAAACAAATATATACGGTAAGATAGTATAAAATACATTTAATAATATTAAGAAACTAGCTGTAAGTGGAATTCTGTCTTAAGGCAATTAAGGCATCGTGCCTTAAGGCAAATTGCTGGAACTTCCCGTACCGTAACGAAATGTTCGAGGAATAATGAATGTTTTCAAATAGATTATTATAAATATTGTAACATTGTCTAATATTTATAAGAATTATATAAACTGAATTGCAAAGTTGAAATTATTTGTAAAGTATATTAGAACTATAGTCAGAATTAAAAATAAAATCTGAATTATTTTCGATATACAAAAAATTAAAAAAAAAAAAAGTTGAATTTTTTTTTTCCAAAATCAATTATTTTGTTAAGACAAGCAGAAAGTTCTTTGAATCATTTAAATCGGACGCTTAGTTCTCTCAAAAACTGCCATTTTTTACATATTTAGCTCCGTATCTTTGAAATGGCAGGACCTGCCTTTGCCAAAAACTATTAAACACTTCTCCCAATCATTACTAATTGAATGTTTTTTAGATCATTCAAATCGGATACTCCGTTCTCTCAAAAAGTCAATTTTTATTTTCTGCACTCTTTGCTTCGTATTTCCGAAACGGCTGGACCTGTTTTTGCCAAAAACTAATCAGTTTTTTTCCCTATCGATACGAATCGAATGTTTTCTGAACCATTCAAATCGGTTGATCCGTACGCCCGAAAACGTGGGCGAAAATTTGTATCCATACATACATACACACACACACACACACATCCATTTTTTCTGAGGTATGCCAAAATGTTCAGAAACCTTCAAAACGTCGAGAAATGTAAAAATTTTCAATTCCGATTTTCGGCCCATTACAATAACTTACCCTACGGGAAGTTAATAAGTAGTGCTGCATGGCATCGTGCCTTAAGCCAAATTGCTGGAATCTACCGTAACAAAAATTTAAAAAAAAATGTTAAAAAAAATTTAAATTTTTTTAAAAAATTTGAGCAAATTAGATTTTTGAGTCATGAAATTTTTAATAAACTAAATATTTTTGAAAAAAATGTGTTTTTTATATACAATGATTTTTAACTTCCTGTAGGGTAAGTTATAGTAATCGCAAAAAAATCGAAAATAAAATTTTTTACATATCTTTACGTTTCAAAGGTTTCTGAATATTTTGACATACCTTAGAAAAAAATGTATGTATGTGTGTGTGTATGTGTGTGTGTGCGGATACAAATTTTCGTCGACAATTTCGGGAACACCGATCAACCGATGAATAATTCAAAAAACATTCGATTCGTATTGATAAGTAGACGTGCTGATCAGTTTTTGGCGAAGGCAGGTCTAGCCGTTTCGAAGATACCGAGCAATATTTTGACATACCTTAGAAAAAATTTATGATGTGTGTGTGTGCGGATACAAATTTTTGTCGACGATTTCGGTAACACCGATCAACCGATTTGAATAATTCAAAAAACATTCGATGCGTATTGATAAGTAGACTTTCTGATTAGTTTTTAGCGAAGACAGTTCTAGCCGTTTCGAAGATACGGAGCAAAAAGTGCAAAAAATGACAAGTTCTGAAGACATTTTTGTTGACTGATTATTTTTATTCTTCGAATGTTTAATTACGGTACGAGAAATTCCAGCAATTTGCCTTAAGGCACGGTGCCATGCGCACCACTAATTTTTATAAATTTTGAATTTTTTTCAAAGCATTCGTGATGCTTGGTACTTTAGAGACGAAATATCTAACAATTTGGTACGAAAATTGATACGAAAATTGATACGAAACCCATAGAAATGTAAACAGTATTTCTACTTATTATTAAAATCTCTATAAAATATCTGTTAATTTATTATGCATATATTTAATAATCATATTTGACAGCCAATGGCTTTTTTACATTGTTCGATCTCTGAAACCGCTGAACCTGCATTCGTAAATATTTAACCAATTTGTTCTGAATTATTGAAATCGAACGCTCCGTTCTCTCAAAAACTGAATTACTATTTTTGGAACTTTTTGCACCGTATCATCGGAAAGGCTAAACCTGCCTCTGCCAAAAACTAATCAGCATGTCTTCTTATCAATACGAATCGAATATTTCTTGAATTATTCAGATATATTGATCCGTGTTCCCGAAATCGTCGACAAAAACTGTGTCCATTTCTATGCCAAAATATTCAAATACTTCTGAAACGTAAAGATATATAAAAATTTCCATTTTCGATTTTTTTGCGATTACTACAATTTACCCTGCGGGATGTTAAATATACGATAAGGTAGTATAAAATATGTTTATTTATATCAAACAATATATTTTTGTTAATATTAATATACTCATACTAATAATTATTTCTTGCAATTACATAAAAATTAAAAACGTGATTAAAACATCGGTTGAGTATAAAAATTAACTTCAATTTAGATTCGACCGTTTTTCAGAAAATGTCGCCCAGAAGTTAAATTTTGAGTTACACAATAAAAAACTAGTTGTAAGTAGCATTTTCGATTAAGGCGAATTTCACTAACTTCCCGAAACGTATACACAACCAATTTAATCAATAAAAAATTCAGTTCAACTATTTAGGTAAAATATTCAAAAATTTATTTCAATTTTTTACGCTTTCAAACATACCTATAATATCTGAAATTGTATGAATATAATTAATTTGTTTTTTACATTACTTTTCATTCATTATGGATAGGTTCCTAAAACGTAGTTTTTTAAAGTAGATACGTACGAATCATGAAACCTACGCTTAAGTGCGGAGCGCAAATTCAGATTTTGGCGATTTTTAACTTCCAGTAGGGCAAGTTATAGTAATCGCAAAAAAATCGAAAATGAAAATTTTTATATATCTTTACGTTTTAAAGGTTTCTGAACATTTTGGCATACCTTAGAAAAAATGGATGTATATGTGTGTGTGTGTATGTATGTATGTATGCATGTATGTATATATGTATGTATGTATGTATGTATGTATGTACGTATGTACGTGTGTGTATGTATGTGCGGATACAAATTTTCGTCGACGATTTCGGGAACACGGATCAACCGATTTGAATAATTCAAAAAACATTCGATTCGTATTGATAAGGAGACTTGCTGATTAGTTTTTGGCAAAGGCAGGTCTAGCCGTTCCGAAGATACGGGGCAAAAAGTGACGAAAATGGTAACTCAGTTTTTAAGAAAACGGAGCGTCCGATTTAAATAATTCAAAAAACATTTCACTTGTATTGACAAGATGAAGAATCGATAAAATTTTCATGAAGGTAGGTCTAGCGGTTTCGGAAATATGGAGGAAAAAGTAAAAAAATGAGCCATTTGGCGGTCAAAAATGATCATTGGACATATGCACATCAAATTATCTATAAAGATTTTAACAATAAGTATACATTTTGTTAACATTCCTATGGGTTCCGTACCAATGCTTATGCGTTAGACAGCGACGCGGCGCTTACGCGCTTTATATTTTGTCCCTATGCAGATAAAGCAGTACGATTGCTTTAAAAAAAAGTTCAGATCTTCCACAATATGTCAAAATAAATAAAAAATTTTTTTTTTTCAAAAAAAAAAAAATTAAATTTTTTTTTTTTTTTTTGAAATTTTTTTTTTAATAAAAAGTTATTTTTTGTCCAATTTATAGTTTCTCAAAAATCTTATTTTCTCAAAGTAAATTTTTTTCAAAAATGTTAATCGTTTTTAAAAAAATAATTTTTGGTACGGGAAGTTCCAGCAATTTGCCTTAAGGCACGATGCCTTAATTGCCTTAAGACAGAATTCCACTTACAGCTAGTTTATAATTCATTCGCTTATAGTAGGCTCATAGTATTTTAGTAATTTATTTCAAACTTCTAAATGTATCGACAAAACTTTCATCAAGAGCGACAAATTTTTTTTCAACGATTAGGAACTGATAATGCTGTAAAATGGACCAATGTTATGTACGGAAAAAGTTACGTACAAAATTGTACTAAATACTGACAAAATGCCATGTATTTTCCATGCGATCAGTAAAAATAAAATAGTATTGTTTTTATCAGTTGAACGACAATCAGAACTAGTATTTTATAAGCTGTGCTTTGTTTTCTATTTATATTTTTTTCCTTATATGATCAAACTTTTATGTACTTCTAAATTGTGATGTGGTGTATTGCAGTAATGTTCTAAAAGGTTACTATCATTTTAATATATTTTAAGTAAAAACTTGCAATAAGGATATTGCTTGATATCAGGTTGTTGTAGCACTATATGAACCCGAACTTTACCGTTGCAAGTTCTAGGCACTTATATGACTGCACCACAAACCAAACCTGAATGTGTTTCATATTTAGTGTGAAAATCATTTATATAAAGTTAGTAGTTTCATAATGAATGCTAGCAAATGACAGTTAAACAAATTATATGAAGAAAAATGTAATGCATAATAAAATTAAAGCATGTATAATAGTTTACTAAAAGCATTTTGTACAATTAAAAACATTTTACTGCAATTTGTAAACTGATTTGCATAATTGTGAATTACGTATGCCACATATATTCGCTGCTCGAATTGTCAGAAACGATTTTATTACAACGCACCGGTTTTATTACAACCTCGTAGCTCTGGATTGGGTTGTCGAATCTTCATCTCGTATCTACTGCAGCAAAACATTCGCGAGATCAGACGCCGAGGCAATTGAATGTAATTCCGTAGGGCAGTCTTCCAGCAAGTGCAAATGTTGACAAAGTGCACGACACTATTGTTCTACATACGGATGTGAAACAATAATGATCCATTCGTGTACTCGGTGCCAAATAAATTTCAAGCAAGATTATTTCG